CGTTAGGATGAGACGAAATCGTGGTCAGGAACAAGCCAAAGATCAGTAGCGGAGGAGTAGACAGCAGCAGGAACAGTAGCGGGATATTGGCTGGAAAGGCACAATAATCTGGCAAGGAGGAAGTCCAAGGACATGGCTTATATAGGAAGTTCATGGGAGGAGCAAGGAGTTCAAGGTTCAAGAGCAAACAAGGCACAAGGCAGGATTATCCAATAGATGAGGCAAAGTGTTGCCCAGCATCCTAGGTAGCTCAGTGAGTAGAGTTACTGCCTGACACAGTAGAAGTCCCAGGTTCAAGTCCAGGCCCTGACACAGTCCCAGCTTTGACCTCTGGAGACCTTTCCTCAATTTTACAGTATAAATGGTTTTGAGATCCTTAATCCCCGAAATTCCACATCACCGGAACCCACCAGACAATGTTACATCCTACCGAATACTCAATTCCACAAGGAGCAAAGCTTTTCCTGCACCGACCACCGCTCTATGGTATGTTGCCGCCATCCCACAGAAGCATTAACCACCTCCTATAAAGAGAGACCCTCCATTGTAGTGCTCCAAATCCATGCTAATGTTCACACACACGTCACAAGCCTACACCAGATACCTAAGACTTGTGTCAACCTGATCTTCTCTACAATGCCCCGTAGACTTTCCCCAAGTACCTCCATGTCACTTAAAAGTCTTCACTTTGCACCATTGAATCCCAGTCACCCCGGAGCCCAGTGCTCCAGATAGCAGGTCCCATATTTTTCCTGACAGCAGACCACTACATAATTGCCACCAAGTGGAAACAAATCTTCTCCCCCATCCTTTACTGTTCTTCTAAATCAAATGAAAGATGGCGCACCATACAGCCTGTCTCCATAATAGAAATAGACCAAACCAGGCCAGGCTTTTACCACTCCAGGCCTCTTTTTCACCAATTCCCTTTCCTCAGATTTACCATATAAATGGTGTTTGAGATCCATACCCCCCCCCCCCCCCCCCCCCCCCCCCCCCCCCACCCCCCCCCCCCCCCCACTCCTACATCAGAACCCAGATTATGCTACCTTCTCTCAAATTCACCAATGAGCAATGACCAAAGCCATTTCTGCACCGACGACCGATCCATGCGACTATGAGATGGGGGGGGAAACAGCTCTCATTGTTTGAACACTGTTTGTGTGGAAGTAAATTAATGTTTTGACTGCCATTCTGCGGTTTAGCCACAAGATGTCACTGTTTTTCTAACACAGCCTCAGACTGCATAGATATTTGTATATTCATGAAGAGGTGGGGTTTTGCACACAGAGTTGGAGAGAACACGAAGGAGAGAGAGGGAAGCCATGTTTTGGAGCATGGTGAATGAGGGGCCGTGTGAGCTGAGAATCTGAGGACATCCAGGTGTGAAAGCGTCCCTCAGTAACCAGAGCTACGGCTAAGTGAAGCTGATTGTGTCCAAGACCCTGATCCTGTTCAGAGAAAGGAAGATTGCTGCCAGGAATGCTGATGAGAGAGCAGAGGAACTAAGCAGCATATACTGCAATACCTCGAAAGAGCAGGGCCCTCGATCCCCTCATGTTCTGCATTGTATTGGTATTGTTCTGTCACATGTTCTGTCCCCCTTTGTAATGTACAGCGCTGAGCGAACTATTGGCGCTTTATAAATACTGTATAATAATAATAATATCGCATGCTTGTTGGAGAGACATTTGTTCTGTTCAGAGTCACCAGCGGATGCAAAGCAGGTCGGTAAGATCGTACACGCACCTCATTTCAGTGTTGGCGCCTAGAGACTGAGGCCAGGCCTATAGTTAGTTAGGGTCTCTGTTTGTGTCAGGCCACAAGTGTTGTTACTAATCATTGGAAGGACTCCACAACTCAAAGTGACATTTCACATTGGAGAACTGATAAAATCCCACAAACTCAAACCAGACTGGCGTGTTGCTCAGAAGGAATACTCAGGCACGTGCTACAGGAGCAGTTATGGGGGGGGGAATACTGTAGATTTGTGTAAGATTGTAAGCTGTTGTGCTGCACGCAGGCTAGCCCATACCGTACCCCCATACACTGATTCCTGCTCTGTAGGGTAATAACAGGTAAGGTGTGGCAGCTTAGTTGTGCCCCCCAGTAGGTAAATTACTTCACTTTCTACCTTCATCCATCAGGGGGCGCCGTGCTGTGCAGCACAAGGGTCTCAGCCTTTGGGCTGGGTGGATGTAAATTTATTGTATGTTCCCAGCATTTGTGGTTGTGTTTATTTGCCACCTCTAAGTAACATTCTGTTGTGACAAAAGCTGGTGTTGGGGTTGTTTCCTCGTCCGTGACGTCACTGTATCCTGGGGAGCCCACCCCGGTACACGGCCTACACTCCTCGTTCGTGACTTCACTATCCTGGGGAGCCCCCCCGGTACACGGCTTACACGACGTCACCGCCATTCCAGCCAACCACCTCCTATGAAGAGAGACCCTCCACTGCAGGATGTGCTCAGATGTCCCATGGAATGACATTGTCACCTTTCTCTCCCGCTATTGATCACTCAATAACTGATAATTAATAACTCAATTATTTATAGGGAAAGTTGATCCAGGGAATATCCAATCGCCTCTCGGGGGATCAGGAAGGAATTTTTCCCCTGCAGGAGCAAATTGGATCGTGCTTTGCTGGGTTTTTTGCCTTCTTCTGGATCAACTGTGGGTGTAGGATTATACAGTCAGGTCCATAAATATTGGGACATGGACACAATTCTAACATTTTTGGCTCTATACACCACCACAATGGATTTGAAATGAAACGAACAAGATGAGCTTTAACTGCAGACTGTCAGCTTTAATTTGAGGGTATTTACATCCAAATCAGGTGAACGGTGTAGGAATTACAACAGTTTGCATATGTGCCTCCCATTTGTTAAGGGACCAAAAGTAATGGGACAGAATAATAATCATAAATCAAACTTTCACTTTTTAATACTTGGTTGCAAATCCTTTGCAGTCAATGACAGCCTGAAGTGTGGAACGCATAGACATCACCAGACGCTGGGTGTCATCCCTGGTGATGCTCTGCCAGGCCTTTACTGCAACTGTCTTCAGTTCCTGCTTGTTCTTGGGGCATTTTCCCTTCAGTTTTGTCTTCAGCAAGTGAAATGCTCATCGGATTCAGGTCAGGTGATTGGCCATTGCAGAACATTCCACTTCTTTGGTGTCTTTTGCAGTCTGCTTTGGGTCATTGTCCATCTGCACTGTGAAGCGTCCAATGAGTTGTGAAGCATTTGGCTGAATATGAGCCGATAATATTCCCGAAACACTTCACAATTCATCCGGCTGCTTCTGTCAGCCGTCACATCATCAATAAATACAAGAGAAGCAGTTCCATTGGCAGCCATACATGCCCACGCCATGACACTACCACCACCATGATCACTGATGAGGTGGTATGCTGAGGACCATGAGCAGTTCCTTCTCCATCCTCTTCTCTTCCCATCACTCTGGTACAAGTTGATGTCGGTCTCATCTGTCCATAGGATGTTGTTCCAGAACTGTGAAGGCTTTTTTACATGTCGTTTGGCAAACTCTAATCTGGCCTTCCTGTGTTTGAGGCTCACCAATGGTTTCCATCTTGTGGTGAACCCTCTGTATTCACTCTGGTGAAGTCTTCTCTTGATTGGTGACTTTGACACACATACACCTACCTCCTGGAGGGTGTTCTTGATCTGGCCAACTGTTGTGAAGGGTGTTTTCTTCACCAGGGAAAGAATTCTTCGCTCATCCAGCACAGTTGTTTTCCGTGGTCTTCCGGGTCTTTTGGTGTTGCTGGGCTCACCGGTGCGTTCCTTCTTTTTAAGAATGTTCCAAACAGTTGTTTTGGCCACGCCTAATGTTTTTCCTATCTCTCTGATGGGTTTGTTTTGTTTTTTCAGCCTAATGATGGCTTCACTGATAGTGACAGCTCCTTGGATCTCATCTTGAGAGTTGACAGCAACAGATTCCAAATGCAAATAGCACACTTGAAATGAACTCTGGACCTTTTATCTGCTCATTGTAATTGGGATAATGAGGGAATAACACACACACCTGGCCATGGAACAGCTGAGAAGCCAATTGTCCCATTACTTTTGGTCCCTTAACAAGTGGGAGGCACATAGGCAAACTGTTGTCATTCCTACACCGTTCACCTGATTTGGATGTAAATACCCTCAAATTAAAGCTGACAGTCTGCAGTTAAAGCACATCTTGTTTGTTTCATTTCAAATCCATTGTGATGTATAGAGCCCAAAAATGTTAGAATTGTGTCCATGTCCCAATATTTATGGACCTGACTGTATATACTTTTTTTTTTTTTTTTGGTTGAACTGGATGGACTTTTGTCTTTTTTCAGCCAGACTAACTATGTAATTTTTGTCAAAGATTAATAAACAATTTATTAGATTTAAGTCATTTATATTACAAAGTCCAAATTATATAATATTATTTTATATCATTTAATTATATATTAAATACAGTATATAACATATATTAACTTTTAATATTTTAACAAAAATTATATTATAATAAATATTATTATAATGCGTATTCAAGTGTTCCTAATCCCCCCCCGCAGTACAATCAGTCTGTAGATGCAGGAAAGCATGCTTCTTATACTCACTGTGGAACCTAAGGGGTTAATCCTCTGCATTGTGGAAAAAGGCTGTATGATCCTGTCTTCTCTGATCTTCCCCTTTTTCCAGTGTCCCTCTGTTATCTTTGGATAAGACATGGCTGTGGAGACACTTTGCACATGCTCAGTTTGGTGTGTATTGCTAGAAAGGTGTTTTTTTTTTTCTTGGGAGAGTGCATGTGATGAGCACAGGGCCAATCAGCACTGTTCAGATAGAGGGTCAGGGGTTCTGCATCCTCCTACAGCAGAAAGAAAACTCCTCTTACATGCTTTAACCAGTGCTCTGCTGGACACTGATAGAAGTCACAAGACTGCTCTATACTGCTGATGAGAAAAGGGATTTAACAGTTTATATTTACTAAAATAATTGCATTTCCATGTTCTGTGTACTGTGGGAGACCAGATATAGTGAATGCGGGGTCCGGGGAGAGCGGATATAGTGAAATGCGGGGTCCGGGGAGAGCGGATATAGTGAATGCGGGGTCCGGGGAGAGCGGATATAGTGAATGCGGGGTCCGGGGAGAGCGGATATAGTGAATGCGGGGTCCGGGGAGAGCGGATATAGTGAATGCGGGGTCCGGGGAGAGCGGATATAGTGAATGCGGGGTCCGGGGGAGAGCGGATATAGTGAACGCGGGGTCCGGGGAGAGCGGATACGGTGAATGCGGGGTCCGGGGAGAGCGGATATGGCGAACGCGGGGTCCGGGGAGAGCGGATATAGTGAAATGCGGGATCCGGGGAGAGCGGATATGGCGAACGCGGGGTCCGGGGAGAGCGGATATGGCGAACGCGGGGTCCGGGGAGAGCGGATATGGCGAACGCGGGGTCCGGGAGAGAGCGGATATAGTGAATGCGGGGTCCGGGGAGAGCGGGGATACAGTGAATGCGGGGTCCGGGGGGAGAGCGGATATAGCGAACGCGGGGTCCGGGGAGAGCGGATATAGTGAGTGCGGGGTCCGGGGAGAGCGGATATAGTGAATGCGGGGTCCGGGGAGAGCGGATATAGTGAATGCGGGGTCCGGGGAGAGCGGATATAGTGAATGCGGGGTCCGGAAGACTTATAAAAATAATATACACGAGGCCGATGTCCGCCGGTATCACCACCGACACCACAAAGGTTAAATCTCCGCCGCGCTCAGTCGCCTCTCTCATACATCAGCGGTGAAACGTTCTGTGGTCGGCGGAGAAGTAAATCTGAGTAGCAAAACATTGCGGTAAGAGTGACCGACGGAGCGTTCACCCCTGAAATTTGTATCAACCCCAGTCCAGCACCCTCGAAGATGAGGAATTCAAAGCGAGGTGTAAAGCTGAACTCCGGGCAGCTATATGAGACAGAGATGAACGCAGCGCTGGGAATGAACGCATCATTAAAGGTATTTTTTAAACGCAAGCAGTGTAAGTGAATGAATGTGACCTTGTAACTGCATAGAGAAGCACAGAGACCTAGTGATGCCATCACAGGTTTTAAAACAAAAGTATATCATGGAAATGATCCCTGTACAGCAGAGCTCAGACTGAGAGAAGGAGAAGCAGCAGAGCAGCCAAACAGATCATGAGACGAAAAGAAGCATGCTGATAGGAAGAGAGAGCAGAGTAACTGTGATCTGAGCTCATCAGTCTGTTTCTGCACCTTTCACTGTCCAGCGACAGGCTGGGGATGGGTCCAGGAGCAGGGGCGGACTGACAACTCATGGGACCCCCAGGCAATAGGGGATCATGGGGTCCCTGTGTCCGTGCCCAAACTCAAAAAAGCCTATGAAAAAGGTACCAGGGGCATCTCATGGGGCCCCCTACTGACCCCGGGCCCTCGGGCAGTGCCCAAGTTTCCAAATAGTCAGTCCGCCCCTGTCCAGGAGGACCTGGGACCTGAGGAAGTGAGCTGAACACTGCACCCCCAACATAGGGGACACCGCACCCCCAACATAGGGTACACCGCACCCCCAACATAGGGAACAGAGCACCCCCCAACATAGGGAACACCACACCCCCAACATAGGGAACACCGCACCCCCAACATAGGGAACACCGCACCCCCAACATAGGGAACAGAGCACCCCCAACATAGGGCACACAGCACCCCCAACATAGGGCACACTGCACCCCCAACATAGGGTACACAGCACCCCCAACATAGGGTACACTGCACCCCCAACATAGGGAACACTGCACCCCAACATAGGGGACACCGCACCCCCAACATAAGGAACAGAGCACCCCCAACATAGGGTACACCGCACCCCCAACATAGGGCACACAGCACCCCCAACATAGGGAACAGAGCACCCCCAACAAATGAACGACAGAACCCCAACTTAGAGAACACAGCACCCCCAACATAGGGGACACCACACCCCCAACATAGGGGACAGAACACCCCAACATAGGGGACACCACACCCCCAACATAGGGGACAGAGCACCCCCAACATAGGGGACACCGCACCCCCAACATAGGGCACACAGCACCCCCAACATAGGGAACAGAGCACCCCCAACAAATGAACGACAGAACCCCAACTTAGAGAACACAGCGTCCCCAACATAGGGGACACCACACCCCCAACATAGGGGACAGAGCACCCCAACATAGGGGACACCACACCCCCAACACAGGGGACACCACACCCCCAACATAGGGAACAGAGCACCCCCAACATAGGGGACACCACACCCCCAACATAGGGTACACCGCACCCTCAACATATGAACCACAGAACCCCAACATAGAGAACACAGCGCCCCCAACATAGAGAACAGAGCACCCCCCACATAGGGGACACCACACCCCCAACATAGGGAACACTGCACCCCCAACATAGGGGATACCACATCCCCAATATAGGGACCACAGCACCCCTAACATAGGGAACACTGCACCCCTAACATAGAGGATACCACATCCCCAATATAGGGAACACAGCACCCCCAACATAGAGAACACAGCACCCCCAACATAGGGAACAGAGCACCCCCAACATAGAGAACACAGCACCCCCAACATAGGGAACAGAGCACCCCAACATAGGGGACACCACACCCCCAACATAGGGAACACTGCACCCCTAACATAGGGAACACTGCACCCCTAACATAGGGGATACCACATCCCCAATATAGGGAACACAGCACCCCCAACATAGGGAACACAGCACCCCCAATATAGGGAACACAGCACCCCCAACATAGGGAACACCACACCCCCAACATAGGGGATACCACATCCCCAATATAGGGAACACATCACACCCCAACATAGGGAACACAGCACCCCCAACATAGGGGACACAGCACCCCCAACATAGGGGACACAGCACCCCCAATATAGGGAGCACCTCACCCCCACATAGAGAACACAGCACCCCTAACATAGGGGATACCACATCCCCAATATAGGGAACACATCACCCCCCAACATAGGGAACACAGCACCCCCAATATAGGGAACAGAGCACCCCCAACATAGGGAACACAGCACCCCCAACATAGGGAACACAGCACCCCCAACATAGGGGACACAGCACCCCCAACATAGGGGATACCACATCCCCAATAGGGGTAGCAGTGCTAAGGCGGCGAGCCTCCTGTGCAGCAACACTGCGAGGAAGATACCCGCAGCTTCCATCAGAGGCTTCTCACACAGGCTCCCGGCTCCACAATGGCTCCCGTTGAGTTTGGCGCGCGGCGCGGCAGGTGACGGAGGGGTTAAGGTGTTTGAGATTCTCGGGCCGCTATTGTCTGCGTGTTTTACGGCCGCTTGTAGCCGTACAGGAAGGCGTGAGTAATTAGTTGCCTCCATCTGTGCCGTTTTCTCGCGCAGACACGACGCGCGATAAATTATTGTTAGGGCGGCCACTTTGCAGCCGTAAAGATAAAACAAAACAGCAAAATTTGCTCTCCATTTTTTCTGCATTTTAACGGCTCGCCATATTTCAGCGCTTTTATGGCGGTTTTATGTGTATTTACGTAGCTCCATCCCCCGAGCGCGAGCCGAGAAGCTGCATCAGCACCAGATCTGCGAGACAGCCGAGTTTTTCATGTTTATGGGGCGCGGTGTGGGAATGGCGGCCGCGGAGGGAGACTTTTTTTTTTTTTTTTTTTACTGGCGGCGTTTGCTGACGCTGTTTATTATGCAACGTCGCAATCAAGATGTCACAACATCGCCTCCGAGAATTGTCACCCCGGAGACGTGGACCACAGAATCAACCGCCAGAAATCACTGAGATTTCTAAATCCCGCCCACAGCACAGCCCACAACGCACTCTTACCTAGGTTCACACCTATGCGTTTTACAGAAACGCAGAGCAGTCCATTTAACACGATTCTCTATGGGACACGTTTTTTGGAAAGGCTCAGGGACTTTTTTAAATGCAAAACTTTGCGTTTTTGGTTCAGCAGACTTCAACGCAGACGCTGCTGAAAGCATGTAGTGTGTTTTTGATGCATTTTGCGTTTTAATCTGCCCAGCAACAAGACGGGGGAAAAAAACACGTCAACAACGCATGTGTAAAAAACACTTCAGAAACGGATCAAACGCAAACTGCACAGGTGTGAATCTAGCCTTATGCAGGCCATAGACGGGTCCAAAACCGTTTTTAAAAAAATGAAAAATCGGTCGTTCGATCGGCCGACGTTACCACCAACGGTAAAAAAAAAACGGCCGATTTTTGTCCCGTCTGCGGCCGGCATTTAATTACTTTTGTCCCTGCAGGGAGCTCCGCTATTATATTTGACATGAAAAAGTCTTGCGGTTGCAACAATGTATCTATTTGTATCCATTTGTATCTATTTGTATCCATTGGTATCCATTTGTATCTATTTATATCCATTGGTATCCATTTGTATCCATTTGTATCCATTTGGGATACAGATGGTTTTATTCGGATACAAATGGATACATTGTTGCAACTGCAAGACTTTCATGTAAAATATAATAGCGGACTTGAATTCTTCTTCTTTTTCTTCTTCTTCTTTTTCGTCACGGCTCATGCGCAGAATTTTTATCAGTAAAACGATTGGCCGATTTGCACATCATTGCCGGGAAAATTGGCCGATCGTCAAAAATCGGCCACGAAAATTCCAACTTTACCGATAAAAAAAAATTGTGCCAAAACCCCGAAAAACGGCCGACCAATTAACCTACTAATGGTGTGAAAATCGGCCGATTTTCAACCCGTCTATGGCCTGCATTAGTCTAGGTTCACACTTATGCGTTTTCCGTTGCGTTTTGCAGAAACGCACAGCAGTCCATTTAACATGATTTCCTATGGGACAGGTTCACATTTTCGCGTTTTCATCCCGGTGCGTTTTTTGGAAAGGCTCAGGGACTTTTTAAAATGCGTTTTTGGTACTATAGACTTCAATGGAAACGCTGCAGAAAACATGTAGTGCGTTTGTGATGCATTTTGCTTTTTAATCTGCTCAGCAACAAGTTGGGGGGAAAAAAACACGCAAAATGCCTGTGCAAAAATGCAAAAAGCACTTCAGAAACGGATCCAATACAAATTGCAAAGGTGTGAACAGAGCCTTAGTCTAGGTTCACACCTAAGCGTCTTCCTTTGCGTTTTGCAGAAACGCACAGCAGTCCATTTAACATGATTTCCTATGGGACAGGTTCACATCTTCGCGTTTTCACCCCGGTGCGTTTTTTGGAAAGGCTCAGGGACTTTTTAAAATGCGTTTTTTGGTTCTATAGACTTCAATGGAAACGCTGCAGAAAAGCATGTAGTGCGTTTTTTATGTGTTTTGCGGTTTAATCTTCCCCGGCAACAAGTTGGGGAAAAAAAAAAAACCGCAAAACACCTCAAAAACACGTGTGCAAAAACGAACCACAAAAAGCACATCAGAAATGGATCAAACGCAAACTGCACAGGTGTGAACCGAGCCTTAGTCTAGTTTCACACCTAAGCATTTTCTTTTGCATTTGCAGAAACGCACAGCAGTCCATTTAACATGCTTTCCTATGGGGCAGGTTCACATCTTCGCATTTTCACCCCGGTGCGTTTTTTAGAACGGCTCAGGGACTTTTTAA